TTTACCTTGTCCTATAAAGACTGAGTGAAATAATTTTACAGCAATGAAACAAATACACTGCAAATTCAATTGAATAAAGCTTGAAAAGTTTCATTGAAATGAAACAGGACCAAGTGCATTTCCTAATGCATATTCCTTGGGCCTCTAAGCCGGTTATGTGAAATATGTTGCTCCACTAAATTGGTCATGCTAAGAACCTCTTCAAACACAAGGAACCCACAACAAAAAAGGACACATTCTAGACAGTAGTTGCTAGAACCAAGAAACTCCTCTCTTCGTAACAAAAAAGGCGAATTTGAAAAAATAAGAAAAGAGGGAAGAAAAAAAGGTTAGCAGTACAGTGTGTCGTGCCTGGAAAGATACTCAGAGGAAATTTTATTTGTGCCAAATTCTACCAAACACTGCAAACATGCTGCGGCCAATAGAATCACCTGCCATCACGAATGATTTGGACACTGACCACGTTTTTTAGGCCTGTATATGGAGGCCATGGATTCTATCTTTTGACCAGCTGCCAACATCGTCAAGCGCCAGCAGAAGCCAAACAGCATCAAGCCCTGTTTGCTGGCAAAGAGGGCAGAGATGGGCAGAGACGGGCATAGTTACGGCATATGTTACGACATATAAGTTACGGGTATGGGTCTTTTCATAGTGCCTTTACAAAAAAGTACCAAAAGGAGCAACAGTTCTCAATTAACTGTCATTGCAGTGGGGAATTTTTCAGTATCTAGAGCTGCAGCTGGCTAAAACGAATTACTTGTCTCCTTTTTTTTCACAAACTCAGGAAGCTCCTCAAAACTATTTTTAAGATTGCATGTTCTCAAGCGCAGACAAGTCTGATCTATTCATTCATTCTCCACGTCCGCTTCCTCCTGCTCCCCACTCTACCACTGTTTAGATAAAATTAGAAAGTACGAGGCTGTCTCTTTATGGCACCAAGGCTTTGCCACTAACAGTGGTGTGAACATAACTGTGAACTGCTAAAAGTGTGAGAAACGCAGTCCCCAGTAAAAACCTCAAAGCTCCGGGTTATGTGTAAAAAGATTTTTAGGAGCTCCCCTCTGACTTCATAAAACGTCCCACTGACTAGGGTGAAAGGTTACTGGTCAAGCCACAGGGAGGTCAGTCACTGTCCCTGAATGTGTATATCAAAGGTGACACCCCCACCTCCTAGAGAGAGATGATTAACCTGAGAAGGGCCACAGCAGCTTCACCATGACAACCATCCTGCTTAGAGGACTCAGGTGTCCCCATTTGCTGGGAAACAGTCGTGGGTGTAACCCTACAAGTATAATATTTCAGATACCACTTGTGATGCAGGAGAGCAGGGAGTGTGATGCCTATCTTTACAATGTGACTGCCCCGTACAACTCTGTCAGACTAACCTTAAAATAATCATATAGACTAAACATGATTAAAAAAAAGTTTGCTGGTTTGTCTGGCTGGTGGCCACTCTAATGTTCACTCTCTTCTCAGACTACTGTGTGGAGGTCCAGCAACAACACATTCAGTTCACCTGGCTAGCACTTGCAGATATATTATATGGGATAGGGCTGGGCGATATGGCCAAAATATCATATCAAGATATTTGTTTAAAAAATTCACAGTATGACGGTAGCCTATTTTACTGTATTTTATGCTTTTGAATAATATAAGTTCTAAATATGCTTCATGAGTAGTGCATGACCCTAGGGTGGCAACAAATACATTCTAAGTGGTTTTAATGGGGCTTTCACTATTCTGATTGTAAAAAACAATCAGTATAAAATAGGCTTGGGCGGTATACCGTATACCGGGGTATTTGGAAATAACCACAGGATGGTTTTTCAATACCATCAATACCGTTGAAACAATTTCTTAGAAGTTTTTCAATACATTTGAATATTTGTTGCTACTTTGTAAGTAAATACCTGCAGTCAACTTGTGCAATACCTTAGGAGATGAAGCAGATCACGTTCTTCATTTTACCTGTTACATTATTCTACTTTATGAAGCTTACCATAGTTCCCCGGAACAGTTGAGCCAGTCACGTGTTTGTAAATAGCACAACGGGAGAAAACGGGAGCAGGTGAGTCCAGCTGTGTATTGACAGGGGTCAGGGGTCAGGTTTTACACTGAACAAAAATAGAAACGCATCATGCAAAAATGTCTAAGATTTTACCGAGTTACAGTTCATATAAGGGAAATCAGTCGATTGAAATAAATTCATTCAGCCCTAATCTATGGATTTCACATGACTGGGAATACAGATTTGCATCTGTTGGTCACAGATACTTTTTTTTTAAAGTAGGGGCGTGGATCAGAAAACCAGTCAGTATCTGGTGTGACTACCATTTGCCTCATGCAGAGCGACACATCTAGAGTTGATCAGGTTGTTGATTGTGGTCTGTGGAATGTTGTCCCACTCCTCTTCAATGGCTGTGCGAAGTTGCTGGATATTGGCGGGAACTGGAACACACTGTTGTACACGTCTACACAGAGCATCCCAAATGCTCAATGGGTGACAGGTCTGGTGAGTATACAGGCCATGGAAGAACTGGGACATTTTCAGCTTCCAGGAATTGTGTACAGATCCTTCCGACATGGGGCCGTGCATTACCATGCTGAAACATGAGGTGATGGCGGCGGATGAATGGCACGACAATGGGCCTCAGGATCTCGTCACGGTATCGCTGTGCATTAAAATTGCCATCGATAAAATGCAATTGTGTTCGTTGTCTGAAGCTTATGCCTGCCCATCCCATAACCCCACCGCCACCATGGGGCAGTCTGTTCACAACGTTGACATCAGCAAACCGCTCGCCCACACTATGCCATACACGCTGTCTGCCATCTGCCCGGTACAGTTGAAACCGGCATTCATCCATGAAGAGCATACTTCTCCAGCATGCCAGTGGCCATCGACGGTGAGCATTTGTCCATTGAAGTCAGTCACGACGCCGAACTGCAGTCAGGTCAAGACCCTGTTGAGGATGACGAGAACGCAGAATATGTTCCCTGATACGGTTTCTGACAGTTTGTGCAGATATTATTTGGTTGTGCAAACCCACAGTTTCATCAGCTGTCCAGGTGGCTGGTCTCAGACGATCGTGCAGGTGAAGAAGCCAGATATGGAGGTCCTGGGCTGGCGTGGTTACATGTGGTCTGCGGTTGTGAGGCCGGTTGGACGCACTGCCAAATTCTCAAAAACGATGTTGGAGGTGGCATATGGTAGAGAAATTAACATTCAATTCTGTGGCAACAGCTCTGGTGGCCATTCCTGCAGTCAGCATGCCAATTGCACGCTCCCTCTGAACTTTGTGTTGTGTGACAAAACTGCCCATTTTAGAGTGGCCTTTTATTGTCCCCAGCACAAGGTGCACCTATGTAATGATCATGCTGTTTAATCAGCTTCTTGATATGACACACCGGTCGGTTGGATGGATTATCTTGGCAAAGGAGAAATGCTCGCTAACAGGGATGTAAACAAATTTGTGCACAAAATTTGAGAGAAATAAGCTTTTTGTGTGTATGGAACATTTCTGGGGTCTTTTATTTCAGCTCATGAAACATGGGACGAACACTTTACATGTTGCGTTTATATTTTTGTTCAGAATATATTGAAAGTCAACCGTGTTTTTTTGCTTCAATAGAGCGATCAGGGAAGTGCAACTATAGTTTTCTTTCACAGAAAATACATTAGTGCAACACATTCGGCAGAAAATAGCTTAATTTACATCAGATGACAAGAGAAGTGCAACGCTATTTGGCTGGCAGCCACACAAGTAAAAGAGCTTACAATGAAAAAGCAAAAAGCATTTTAAAGGCCATCATATTTCTAATGTTTATCGTAGAAAGAATGTAGCCAGCAACATTTCCTAATATTTTGCTTAACGTTAAGTTTGCATTTTACCAGAGAAAAGTAGGCAGGCTACACCGAGAAAAGTACTGGAAAAAAGTAGCTACACATCAGTCAGCGCATTGTCTGCTGGTTGAATGCCCATTCGTGAATTCTCATCCGAGTGGAGAGTTGCAACTGAAGGACAAAATGTGTCTGATGCAGAGCAGAAATGACAATAAGAAGCATTTCAGATCTTTGTTTTAAAAAAGCAGCAAGATATTTCTTATTCATTTTATATTTTTTTCCTGGGTGAAAAATGAAAAATGCTGCGTTAACGGGACACCTAAGCTTAACTTGCTAGTTATCTAAGTAAGTGGCTGAATTAATAAGGTGATGGGGCATCATATTGTGTTAGATTTCTGCCGTGTTTGAGAAGTCAAAGCCCTTTGGATGAGTTATATGTACAGCTGCCACTGCTATCTTTTGAATTCCTTGCGTTTTTTCTCCTCTCCGTTCTTGGCCCATCTGCTCCGCCCCCATCTTCTCTGAGCAGAGCAGTCAGGCCCGTTGCCCTAGCGACTCCAGACTCCACACAGACAGAGCATGTACACATGCTACTCCAGAGCCAGCACTGTTTTTCTTTCAGAAAGGCTTGCGTCAAAACTTTGTTCATTTCCACAATGTCTCTCGTTCACATTCGCTTGTAAATGTCCAAACTCACCAAAAATGGCATTCAGTAACTCCAACCTATATATGTAGAACTTTATGAGCTGGATTGCCAGTCTTTGCGCTCATTGGCATATTTAGCTAGCAGCCTCCATGGAAATTCGCTATTACTTGTGCTAATTCTGAGTTTCATGACTCAGTTATTACATTTATATTACATTTAACAAACCAAACATTGAAATACCGTTAAGTAAGGTAAAGCAAAAACCCAAACCGGCCCTTGCATCAATACTTGTATATAGTAAAATGTGGTTTACCGCCCAGCCCTAATATGGGATCCCTAAACAGAGGGGGGTGTCTATTCCATACAGTCCTGTTGAGACAGAGACAGAGACAGAGAGAGACAGAGACAGAGACAGAGACAGAGACAGAGACAGAGACAGAGACAGAGACAGAGACAGAGACAGAGAGAGAGAGAGAGAGAGAGAGACAGACAACACAATGGCGGCTTACCGTCCACACAGTGCTCCACCTCCTCCAGGTTGCGCAGGGTAATCCTCATCAGGCTGGAGTTGAGCATCAGCTCGTTCTTGTGTGCCGGCCACATGTACTCCGGGGCCAGGTTGACAAAGAAAATGCGTGTGTCGCCAGTGGCAACCTGGTTGTCGCAGATCCCAGGGTCCCCGAAGCCGCCGATCATCACCTTGTTGCCGCCATCCAGAAGAACCTCGCCGTTGACCATGGTCTTGCCTTTCAGGTACCGCCATACCCTCACCTTTATCAAGGCCATGGAGAAAGACAGAGAGGGTTTAGCTCTTTATTGAGGCTCCTCACATACAGGCTGTAACTTCAAGTTAAAGGTAGACTGAGCAAGGTGACATCATCATAAAGAGGATATGATGTATGCAAGTGGAAAGTTGCCCTGTTGATTATGATGATGTAATGAGTCTACCATTAAGCAAATATATTTCATAGCAAAGGTATTTTACAATAATTGTAGTTAAACAAACATATTTAAGTCAGGACTCCAGGACTGATCTTAGGTATTTCATGTTTATATGCATCCAAGCACTTATTCTGCCAACCACTTATTTTAATAAAACTTTTAAAAGGGCCAAATTGTATACATCAGTGTACCATGGTTGAATAATTACATACTTTCCTGGACTGTATCTGCTAAACCATAACCGTATTTGCAACAGAAGACATTGCATATTCATGAAATATTTTTCCATTTGGGCTGGTCTCATTTGGTGGTAAGTGGTTCCGATCTGAAAACGTGACACCTCTAATCTACTCCCTCTACATCCCAACTCATGAGACAACGGACCCTGGACCAAGCAGCAGGTTTCTGAGCTCGGAGAGAGCTGACTGCCACTGGTTTACGTCTTGTTTATTTTGAGAGAGATTAGATTGGTGTACCTCAGTGTTAATAGAGGGTCTAATGGTTTAACAACGAATAACCAAAGGAATTTCATCAATGACTTTGTGGAGGAGTGTTGTTAATTGCTGGATGGGGTTCTGTGAGGACTACGGTCATGGATTTCACAAGTGTATGAATATGCTACTGTATATCCCTCAACATTAGGCTACCTTGGAATAACTGTGTTTGTTTGCAGCCCTTTTCATCTTAATAAGGCGCAACAAACCTTTCCAGAACCCATTTGAATTGAAAATGTCTTTATCTGCCAACACTATACATTACTAAATGGAATGCAACCGGAGGATTGCTGGTATCAGAATCTCAGGTGCAACCTACTGCCCTTGTGCAAGGAGCCTAACCCCTAATCTGCTGCAGGGGCACTGCTCTACAGCTGACCCTGTGCTGCTTTCTGCCTCTTGTGTGTGGTGTCCGGGAAGTTAGGAATAACATAAAACAGCAAAATATGAATTTCCATTTGACAATGGACAATAAAGTTGTATATTCCCTTTATCCTACCGATATATTGGTTTGTCATGTTCTCTAAAAAAGGTAGCTTATTGCTCCCAGAGAGATGAATACCGTTTTCAACATCAAACAAATGGACCACTGACTATACAAATGGATGCCGTTTGCAGTTCGTCTACCTTCTGCACTGCAGTAACAAGGTTGGTCACGGGCCAGTGCTAGGCTACTGGTTTGCATGGCAGGTGGTTCACAGCATGTTTGTGATGAGTACCTGGCTGAGTAGTAGGACTAGTAGCTATGTAATTGATGGGTAGATGGTTAAAAAGTTTAAAGGAACACATAAGATATGGATATTTAGTGTTGTGCTCTGTGACAAGGCAATTGTCAAATACTACCTCATGCCTGTAAATAAAATAAAAACAAGAACAACAAATGTACAGCCTTATAGCTCAATTATGTACATCACTATAGTTCACTTGAGCTTCCCTTAGGAAAACACATTCAGATATGTATTTTATGTATCAAAGGGGGTTTATTAGCCTATAAATATGTAATAAATAGCTAACACTTTGTTGAAATGGTTGAGATTGTTATTACTTTTTTTGTTCAACTACTGTATGAGTAGGCCTACCAAGATCGATGCACTGATTCAAATGACCACCGTTGAACAAAATATTCAAAATGGCTTTGGAAGAAAAGTGGGGTGGCATGTTATAGTGATTGGTTATGATTTGACAGGTGTCACTTTGGAGTTAGGCTTACATGTATCCTACTTTCTGAAACAGAAACATTGGATACTTTGTAACGTTTTCGACAAGACTATCGTTATTTTGTAGCATATGGATCAATATTCAGCAGCAACCTCATTCAACAGAAATATATCAACTCAAGTCAGGACAGTCAGACTTACCTTGCAAGAGTATGTATTGTGCACTGGGTCCATGTTCATGATTTCTTCAACAGTACCAGTCAAAACTACGTTCGCCTCCTCTTCCCTTTTCTCCAAGTCTTTCTCCGGACAACTTCCGTGACACCGTTGACAGAAAACAGCGACTATCATCAATGCCCACCCGTACAAGTGAGTTGGTCTCCGTTGTGAACCCATTGTCACGAAAACGGACAACAGACTGAACAAAATCTCTGCGACGCAAAGTAGCCTACAAATTGTTTTCGCAACAATACTCGCTATTTAGATGAATAAGCCTTCTCCTAACTTCCCTACTGACCACAAAGCTATCTCAATTTCAGGCAAATCTCATGCGTCTGCTGCGTGCGCGAGCTGAGCTGCCTCGCTGCAAGCCGGCTGGGGAGAGAAGAAAAGGGTTGGATTCTCTCTCAAGGAATGCGCTACACTCGATTCTTTCAGAATGACGCTCCCGATTTGCATGCAATCTGAATTGCTGATACGAATGGTGAGGGGACCTGCGGTTTCAGGAAGGCTGCCGAAAGTGGTGTAAAACGCCACCTTTCGGAGAAATGGTGCGTCCACTGAACAAGCGTTAAACCAAAGGGGGATTTGTTTTGAGGCAAGTGATATCCAAGTAGCCTACACTAAACATTGAAAGTAGTCTCGGCCTATATTGTGTGTAGCCTAAACTATAAAAATCATCAAATAACATAACAAAAACATTGGGTATTGAAGGCCTATAGCCTAATAAACAAAGCAACGCATTTTAAACACACCAACCAACAGAAACAGTCCAGATCTGGCAATAAAGTAAGTCTAAGCAATACAATTATGGATCTTATTAAAGATTTCCCATGATCAACATTTGTAAATGCTACCATATGTGCGTTTTGTTACAGCTCCCAGTTAGGAATAGACACTGCGTAAATTTCCACTCTTCAAAAGCTGTAATTTTAGGTAGCCTATCCGTCAATCTATTCCTGGAAAATGACAGGCTTGCGATGCGCTCTCGAACAGAGGATATTTGTAGAGATTTGTTCCATGTTTTCCCTCGAATTTCTGGTGCCCTGCCCTGTTTTTTCTATAAATCTAAAAAGTAGCCTCTTCACAATTAAAATGTCAACATCACAATCTAAAAATAAGGGGTTCAACAAGGGTTCTAAGATCCTCAAAGTTATTCCAAGAACCCCATAGGAGTTGGGGTTCATCGAGGAACCTCCTTACACTCTAAAAAGTAAAGGTTCCTGGAGGATCCTTTAGGGGTTCTTCAAATTGAAACTGTGGGGAAACCCCTATAAGTTCTTTGAAGAACCCTTTAAAATGGTTCTTCAAAGAACCCCTTTTAATGGATCCTCAAAGAACCTTTTCAATAACCTTTTGGGGTTAATCTTTTAATCCCCACCAACTACACTGTAAAAATTAGGGGTTCAACAAGGGTTCTTCTAAGATCCTCAAAGTTGTAGCTCAGTTGGTAGAGCATGGCACTTGCAAGGCCAGGGTTGTGGGTTCATTTCCCACGGGGGCCAGTATGAAAAATGTATGCACTCACTAACTGTAAGTCGCTCTGGATAAGAGCGTCTGCTAAATGACTAAAATGTAAAATGTAACTTTAGGGTTCTTGGCACTGAAAATGGCCCCCAAAAGGTTCTTCCAAGAACCCCAAAGGAGGTGGGGTTCATCGAGGAACCTCCTTAGTTGGTGGGGGTTCATGCAGGAACTGAAACATTTGGATTTGAAAGGACAGCAGGTGCATGCACTTAACTGAAAAATGTAAAGATCTCCTCAATTTAAGGTAAGGTTTGTCCCTTGTATGATCTAAATTGATATTGTTTTATGATGATACCATCTATCTTTTCATATTCGTGCAAATCTTTCTAAAACAGAAAATGGACACAATTCAATGGATATCAATCAACAAAGATGTAAGAATGTGTAGGCTATAAGAATATGTTGAAGGTTAGCTGTATTGGATGCAGATGACTGAACTGCTCACTTTTGTGTCTGTGTCTGCAGGTATACAGACGAGGAGACATACAAAGGTATGTCAATTGGTATTGGTATGTGAATCCAATTTTATTTAATTTTTAGAGTGTAATAATAATAATAATAATAATAATAATAAGTGATGAATAGGACTATTAGGCATAGGCAACAGATCTTGATGAGTGTTATTTTAAGCGATTGGAACGCCCATAGTGGTGCTGAAAGGACAGTGCCAGGATCGAGCAATGATGTTAAAGAAGTTTAACCAACTTGGAGTGCTGAAGGATAGCTCTGCCATTCGGCCAGTTCAGGAACAAACAACAATAATTTGCATTATAGCCTAATAAGCCTACAACTACGTGGTATAGCTTTTTGTAGGCTATAGCCTGATGTAAATACATGTTTCCCCTTAAAACACTCAAGTGTTGCTTTAGCAGTATGCTTATTGTCATTGTCCTGCTGGAAGGTGAACCTCCGTCCCAGTCTCAAATCTCTGGAAGACTGAAACAGGTTTCCCTCAAGAAATTCCCTGTATTTAGCGCCATCCATCATTCCTTAAATTCTGACCAGTTTCCCAGTCCCTGCCGATGAAAAACATCCCAACAGCATGATGCTGCCACCACCATGCTTCACTGTGGGGATGGTGTTCTTGGGGTGATGAGAGGTGTTGGGTTTGCGCCAGACATAGCGTTTTCCTTGATGGCCAAAAAGCTCAATTTTAGTCTCATCTGACCAGAGTACCTTCTTCTATATGTTTGGGGAGTCTCCCACATGCCTTTTGGCGAACACCAAATGTGTTTGCTTAATTTTTCTTTAAACAATGCCTTTTTTCTGGCCACTCTTCCGTAAAGCCCAGCTCTGTGGAGTGTACAGCTTAAAGTGGTCCTATTGACAGATACTCCAATCTCCTTCAGGGTTATCTTTGGTCTCTTTGTTGCCTCTCTGATTAATGCCCTCCTTGCCTGGTCCGTGAGTGTTGGTGGGCGGCCCTCTCTTGGCAGGTGTGATGAGAATTTGCCAATCTTGGTGTTCTCTGGCAAATGCCAAACGTCCTGCACGGTGTTGGGCTGTAAGCACAACCCCCACCTGTGGACATCGGGCCCTCATACCACCCTCATGGAGTCTGTTTCTGACCGTTTGAGCAGACACATGCACATTTGTGGCCTGCTGGAGGTCACTTTGCAGGGCTCTGGCAGTGCTCCTCCTGCTCCTCCTTGCACAAAGGCGGAGGTAGCGGTCCTGCTGCTGGGTTGTTGCCCTCCTACGGCCTCCTCCACGTCTCCTGATGTACTGGCCTGTCTCCTGGTAGCGCCTCCATGCTCTGGACACTACGCTGACAGACACAGCAAACCTTCTTCCCACAGCTCGCATTGATGTGCCATCCTGGATGAGCTGCACTACCTGAGCCACTTGTGTGGGTTGTAGACTCCGTCTCATGCTACCACTAGAGTGAAAGCACCGCCAGCATTCAAAAGTGACCAAAACATCAGCCAGGAAGCATAGGAACTGAGAAGTGGTCTGTGGTCACCACCTGCAGAACCACTCCTATATTGGGGGTGTCTTGCTAATTGCCTATAATTTCCACCTGTTGTCTATTCCATTTGCACAACAGCATGTGAAATGTATTGTCAATCAGTGTTGCTTTCTAAGTGGACAGTTTGATTTCACAGAAGTGTGATTGACTTGGAGTTACATTGTGTTGTTTAAGTGTTCCCTTTATTTTTTGGAGCAGTGTATAAAGATCCATTCCATTAAAAAAATTGGCGGCCCCTTACACTTCAGTGTTGTGATGCAAAAATTCTAGCAAAATGTATAGTGCATAGAATTAAAAAGGTATTGTCGGACATTATTCATTCTAATCAGACAGGTTTTTTACATGGGCGATACATTGGAGATAATATAAGACAAGTACTGGAAACAGTAGAACACTATGAAAAATCTGGGAAGCCAGGCCTACTATTCATAGCTGACTTCGAAAAGGCATTTGATAAAGTACGACTGGGGTTTATATATAAATGCCTGGAGCATTTCAATTTTGGACAATCTCTTATAAATTGGGTTAAAATCATGTATAGTAACCCTAGGTGTAAAATAGTAAATAATGGCTATTTCTCAGAAAGTTTTAAACTGTCAAGAGGAGTGAAATAAGGTTGTCCACTATTGGCATATCTGTTTATTATTGCCATCGAGATGTTAGCTATTAAAATCAGAGCCAATAATAATATCAAGGGATTAGAAATCCAGGGCTTAAAAACAAAGGTGTCATTGTACGCTGATGATTCATGTTTTCTTTTAAATCCACAACTTGAATCCCTCCACAGCCTCATAGAGGATCTAGATACATTTTCTAACCTCTCTGGATTACAACCAAATTATGATAAATGTACTATATTACGTATTGGATCACTAAAAAATTTAAATGTTACATTACCATGTAGTTTACCAATAAAATGGTCTGATGGTGATGTGGATATACTCGGAATACATATCCCAAATGAAATAAATGATCTCACTCCAAAAAATGTAATAGAAAGTTAGCAAAAATAGATAAGATCTTGCTACCATGGAAAGGTAAATACCTGTCAATTTGTGGAAAAATCACCCTGATTAACTCTTTAGTATTATCCCAGTTTACCTATTTGCTTATGGTCTTGCCTACGCCTAGCGAACAGTTTTTTTTATTATATGAGAAAAAAAGATTCCATTTTATTTGGAACGGCAAGCCAGACAAAATTAAACGGGCCTATTTATATAATGAATATGAATTAGGAGGACAGAAATTATTAAATATTAAAGCATTAGACCTATCACTAAAAGCTTCAGTCATACAAAAATTATACTTAAATCCGAACTTGTTCTCTAGCAAACTAGTAAGATTGTCTCACCCAATGTTCAAGAAGGGACTTTTCCCATTTATTCAGATTAAAACCCCTCACTTTCATGTATTTGAAAAGGAAATAATCTCCCAAATATCACTATTTCTAAAACAAGCCATAGAAAGTTGGTTGCAATTTCAATTTAATCCTCCAGAAATGACAGAACAAATATTGCAACAAATATTGTGGTTAAACACAAATATACTAATTGATAAAAAAACGTTATTTTTTGAGAAAATGTATAAAAAAGGTATAATCTTCGTAAATAATATTATCGGTAGGAATGGTGGAGTTATGTCGCACATGCAGCTAACAAAAACACATGGAAATGTCTGCTCT